CGTCAGGACCCAAGCCCTGCTCTCAAACAGCAGCGCGACGCACATAGCAGGAAACCCGCCGACCCCTCCTTAACCTCGCAGGGGCCCAGGGATCACGCCCGCGCAAGATGGCCCCCAAGAACCCAACATGCCCCCAAGAGGCCACCGAGAAGCCCAAAGATGGCCCCGAAGGCTCCCAAAGAGGCTGCCCTCGAAGCCTCCGAAAGGCCCCTAAGAAGCCTCGCGAGAGATACGGAGGACGAGGAGGACGAACCAGCAACAATGACACGCAGGCAACAATGGCAGGAACCGGCGGCAAAAACGCATACGGAATCGGAAGCCCCCTGAATACAAGTAAACACACGCGCACACTCCCCACACATACATCTATATATATATATATATAGATGTGTATATATATGCATACATGTATATATATATATATATGTGTGTATATGCATGTCTATATAAACGCACATTTATATAAACGTACATACATGCATACATACTAATCACATACACGCACGCATACATGCATGCATGCATACACACATACATACATGCATAAATACACATTCCTATGCAACCATACAACCATACATACCTACATGTATGCACACATACCTATATATGCATGCAGACAGGCACGGAGGCAGGCAGACAGGCAGGCAGACAGACAGGCAGACAGACAGACATCACACACACACACACATACGCATCACACACACACGCACATCACAGGCCAACTCAAAAGTAGAACCCTGGATGCCAGAATCAGCACTCCGAATCCCCCCAAAGCCACCCGAACCTCATGAGCCACATCCCCGGTATCTCGACGCACACAAAACAAAAGGCAGGCTGCACAGAGCCGAGGCCCAAGACCCTGGACCCAGCTCTCGAAGTTTCGAAGAACTCAACGTGGAAGCCCAAATAGACATTGAATATTGGGTTGATTGCATTATGTGATGTTCATCGAGATGTGTGGCAATGTTTAGATTCCCCCAGGCAGACCTACATTTCTTGGGGGGAGGGGCCTGGGCAAAGTGGAGTGCGATTCTGGGACGGCTCGTGGGCACGATCCCAACAAGCCCGGAGGACTCCCAATGTCCCATCCTTGCCATGGGGCCCATCTCTGGCTCCAGATACTCCTCCTGAGACTCCAGAAACTCCTGATGCTACAGCAGCTCGCGTTTCGGCTTCAGCAGCTCACGAGGCTCCACTCTGCTGGGGGCATCTGAAGATCTGGCAGCTCCTGCTGGGGCTCCAGCTGCTCCTCAGGCCTTCACGACGGGCCCCGAGAGCTCGCCGCTCCCTCTGCGCTGTGCACCCGCGCCGCACGCTTCGTGACGTGAGGACCTGGGCGTCGGTTTGGGACTCCACGTGGATCGTTCCAACCTTGAGCGATCGCGAGCTTCCTGATAGCGCAGATCGTTCCGTACCGGCTGACAGCGGGCCGCTGGCGGATGTCGGCCCCGAGCTGCGCGCCCGCACCGGAGGCGTCGCCGCCGCACCGACACGACGGGAGCCTGCCGCAGCACCCTCCGTGACTCCACGCGGAACCCTGGGCCGAAGTGGGTGCCACCTCAATCACATGAGGGTACACATTGGTACGGTGAGAGCATTGAATAAGGAACCATTGGACAACGAAGCCAGGGTCTGGACGCCTGTGGAACTCCAACCGTGGATTCGCTATGAATGTCACCACCGCCCTCATCCGATAAAGAATCCTCCTGGGTCTGACGCCTCCTGGGCACATTCCTTACCCAACGCCCCCACCGTACCGACCCCGCTGCTCCCTGGACCTCTCCTGGGGAGCGCTCTGGCCAGAACTTCGAGGCGAACCCAGCTGCGGCGAAGGGGGACTGGCAACGGTGCTGGTATCTCAGCCTCCCCTGATCAACGGCAAGCCTGGTATCTGACGATGCGATTTTTGCGATCCGCGCCCAGATCTTCCACTTTTATCCCGACCCCGTCCCTGGGGACGATTTTTCGTCCCAGATCCATATATGGTCCTGGAGACCGAGAAAGGAGGTCCTGGGGGCCGAAATCGGGGAAGAAGCGCCGGTTGATCAGGTCATTGTTGGAGGCCTGGAAATGGGCACCAACACCAACACAGGAGGCTGCCTCCACAGGGGGAAGATTATCCTAGATTTCGGTGTTTGTGGTAATATTTCGGTCACCTTGGAAGCCAGAATGTTACCACCATCACCGAGATCGGGATAATCTTCCCTCGGTGGAGGCACACCGCCGACATTGGTGTTGGTGTCAACCTCTAGGCCTGCATCGGAAACCTCGAACTCCGATGTCGTGACTTGGACGCCTGGTCGATGTCCTCCTCCTCCTCCTCCTCCTCCTCCTCCTCCTCCTCCCTCCTCCCTCCTCCCTCCTCCCTCCTCCCTCCTCCCTCCTCCCTCCTTCCTCCTCCCTCCTCCTCCTCCTCCTCCTCCTCCTCCTCCTCCTCTCCTCTCCTCTCCTCCTCCTCCTCCTCCTCCTCCTCCTCCTCCTCCTCCTCCTCCTCCTCCTCCTCCTCCTCCTCCTCCTCCTCCTCCCTCCTCCTCCTCCTCCTCCTCCTCCTCCTCCTCTCCTCCTCCCCTCCTCCCTCTCCTCCTCCTCCTCCTCCCTCCTCCCCCTCCCCGGGATCGGATGTCTTGTTTTTGTTCCACACGGGGTCCCTGGACGCCTCGACCCCGTCCCCAGGGGCTGGTTCTTCGTCCCGAGCTGCTTTTCCTGACGCTCCAGAGGCCGAAAGCAGTGGAAAACCTCCGTCTCGTTTGTGCAAAACGCGTTGGGCCCCTGCGGGCATCGAGTGGGATGGGAGAGAGGGCGAGGGCATCGGGGGCTCCCGAGAGTCGAGCGGAACGCGAGAGAAGGCGAGGAGATCGGGGGCTCCCGAACATCGAGGAGGAGGAGGAGGAGGAGGAGGAGGAGGAGGAGGGGGAGGAGGAGGAGGAGGAGGAGGAGGAGGAGGAGGAGGAGGAGGAGGAGGAGAAGGCAAGGGGATCCGGGGATCGGGGGATGCCGAGGGGACCGGGCGCCCCCCAGCCGGGGCGGGCGCACTCGCGGGGCACGGGGGGCGCGCGGCCGCCTGCGAGCCCGGAGGCCTGGAGGTTCGAGGGAGGCCGAGGTCTGGCGGGCAGATCTTTACAGGGCAATTGTTTAATACGTAAGATTTGTTTCCCAGACCTCCTCGCGTCGTGAAAAAATCACGACGGGAGGTTTTTCGCCATTTCGGCCTCCAGGGGCCCTTCCCGGGCCTCGGGACCGTCAAAAAACGACTCAGGACGAAAAACCGGTCCCGGGGAAGGGGTCTGGACCTCTGGGGGGCGCGTCATGAAAAAAATCATGACGTCGGGGGTCTGGGTTTAATATATAGGACTTTAGCACATGATCAATGTAAGAACAAATTCGTGCATGAGCTCATCGTTGTTTTTAATACTAAATCCCTGCATTTCTAATACATGACCCGCACGTGGAGCATGTATAAAAAACGGCACTGTAGGTCGGGCACGGCCTCCTACAAGCGGACTTTCGACGAAAGAAAAGGAAAGAGTTAGAAAGATGCTCCAAAATATATGCAACAAATAATCCAAACATCGTCCCCAGACTATGTTTGACTATTTTTGATGTTCCTCCTGTAGAGGGACAGGCCAGACTTAAGCACCGCTCTGAAGGCTCGAGTCTCGAGGCTCGAGGATCGAGGCCTGGACCACGTCGGAAAAAAGATCACGCCCCGAGCCCCAGACCCCCATCTTTCTGCGTCATTTGTCGGGGGCGGCCAAGAGCGGGGCGTCCAAGAGGGGGGGGGGGGGGGGGCGCAAATCATGGCCGGCGACATGGGCGCGGGGGGGCAGGGACGCAATGAATGAGAAGAAGCGCCATGAAATCTGAGGACATATCATGGCCGATGCCATGTTGTCTACCCCCCCCCAATCATCCACCCCCCTCTTGGCCGCCCCCGAACTTGTGCGAGCCGGATCGATCCGTGAGGGTCCCGCGGCCCGAACCGAAGCCGAAAACGCCTGACTCGAAAGGAAGCCGAAGACGCCAGGACCTCAGGGTTCGAAATTGGACGCCCGAAATGGGTACGGAAAAAATGGGTACAATGCCCAACAACAAATGTTGTCCCAAACCAGCAGCGGCCGCTGTTGGGCAGGCGGCCTTCTGCCTCAGATGGACACAGGCCGCGGCGGCGCGGACAGCGAGTCCTGCTCAAAAAGAGCAGGAGCTGCTGTTGGGCATCATACACGTCGTTCCTTTTCTCATCGTGCTCATTTCTAAGTGTGCTCGCTTGTGAGTGTTCCTGTCCCCCCCTAGTGGCCAGGAAGAGGCCCAGGATGGAACAGTTAGAAATGCAAGGATCTTGGCCCCCTAGAAACCCAGAGATCCGATGTCGTGATTCTTTCAATACGCGGTCCCCGAAAGCCTCGACCCATTCCCCAGGACCAGTTTTTCATCATGAGTCGCTTTTTGACGGTCCCGAGGCCCTGGGAGGGCCCCCATAGGGGCCGAAACTTGCGGAAAACCTCCGTTGTGATGTATTTCCGTGCGTTGCATCTCTGGGAAGCCAGAGAACCTCCGAAGCATCAGAAGTGCCCCCTTCGTCCGTGCCGCTCGAGACAAGAGGAGGAGGAGGAGGAGGAGCAGGAGGAGGAGGAGGAGGAGGAGGAGGAGGAGGAGGAGGAGGGAGGAGGAGAGATAACGAGGAGAATGAAAGGGAGAGGAGGAGGAGCAGAGGAGAGGGGATAACGAGGAGAATGAGGGGGTGGGGGGAAGGAGGAGGAGGAGGAGGAGGAGGAGGAGAGGAGGAAGGAGGAGGAGGAGGAGGAGGAGGAAGGAGGAGAGGAGGATAGGGGGAGGAGGGAAGAGGAGGGGGAGGAGGGAGGAGGAGGAGGAGGACAGGAGGCGAGTAGGAGAGGAGGAGAGAGGAGGAGGAGGAGCTCGAGGCCGAGGGAGAGGCTCCGTTTCTCCCGCGCCTCTGCTGGCGCCCGGCGCCCGGGGGGGGGGGTGGGGGGGGGGCTCTCCAGCAGCTCCCGGACGCCGCCGCGCGTGGCCGCGTCGCGGGGGGCCTGCCGCAGCAGCTGCTCCAGCTCGCCCTGCGCCTCTGGGAGGGGCATCGAGGCCCCCTAAAACAGGGCTAGGATCTTGATAAATCGCTCCAGAGCGTTCCGGAGCGCTCTCAGAGCGTTCCGGAACGCTCTGGAGCAGCCGCGGCGCCCAATACATCCTCCAAACCCGCCGATTCTCAGAGATTTCGAGCTATCCCGATCCGATTTTGTCACGATCTTCGCGTCGTTTTACCCCCCCCTGCTTGCATGGAGGGCGCGCACCCGGACCAGGATCGCGTCGTAACAGACAACCACGGCGGGAGGCCTCTGGACGTGTCTGGCCTCGGGGGGCCCCTTTTCTGGGCCTCGGGAGCGTCAGGAAACGAGTCGGGATGAGAAGCCGGTCCTGTGGAAAGGGTTGGGGCTTCCAGGGACCGCGCATTGAACAAATGAGGACGTCGCATGTCTGGGTATCGGGGGGGACGAGATGGGTAGGATAGAGAGGGGCGGGGTAGAGGATCAGCTCGCGTGTAGCTAGTTTTCCTGGCGCCTCCTGGCGCCGGCAGGCGCCCATGTGTCGAGGAATGGGCGTGAACCCCCCTTTTCCCCATCCCCCCCTTTCGTTCGGCCCGAGCCTCCGAAGGGCATCGATACGCCCCTGCGCAGAGCTAACGACGCTGCAAGACGAGAAGATGGACTTCACTCCAAGCGCTTTCCGGAATAGCAGTATGCAGCCATGGCGCTGCTAAGAGAGTGCTAAACAACTATAATTAGCGAAGGGGCTTTCGTGGCCACGGCGAGCCCCGGCCACGAGAAGGGCCCACGACTTAAGCAGAGCCCCATGCAGAGCCCCAAGCGATCCTCACTTCAGCGCCTCGACTGCAGGTCCGGGTATGAACAAATTCGGCGGACAACAAGCAGCACCAAGAAAACGCCCAGAGCCCCGTTCGGAGTCCCGAGCGATCCTTACTTCAGCGCCTCAACTGTAGGCCCAGATATGAACAAATTCGGCGGACAAAAAGCAGCACCAAGAAAACGCCCCATGCAGAGCCCCATGAAGACTCCCGAGCGATCCTTACTTCAGCGCCTGGACTGTAGGTCCAGATCTGAACAAATTCGGCGGACCAAAAAGCAGCACCAGGAAAACGCCCCAGGGTCCAGTTCGGACGCTTCACTGTCCTGAGCAGAATCTGGGGCCCATGAAGGTTGCTGTGTTGTCTTAAGGTCTCTGATGGGCGTAAGCCCGCATCTCCGACGATGTGTTTTTTTGCAGCTGGCATGTGTTTGATTTATTGACCTCGGCTCAGAGCAAAAACGTGACGGAAGACCATTGCCAATGCTCAGCCTCCAGGGGCCCTCGCCGGGCCGCCAGGACCGTCACCAAGCTGACCCGTATAGCAAGGATGCGCGGTAAGGATGCAAAGGCCTTGGACGCCAATGTCAAAGATTTTCGAGCGGGGCGCGACCAAAGAAAGTGGCCAAGGATGGACCGAGGAGGCAAGGATGCAAGGGTACCCGTGGGAAGGTTGCCCGTCATTGCTATGCGGGTTGACTGTACTAAGGATGAAAAAAGCGGTCCCAAAGAATGGGCCGAGACCTCCAGGGGAACCAGTAATAGACAAACATGTTGGCGCTTTTCGAACGGGGCTGGCCAGCGAAAGCGACTAAGGATGGGCCGAAGGAGAAGGATGCAAGGGTACCTGTAGTCCGGGGGGGTACCTGTAGTCCCGGGGGGGGTACCTGTAGTCCGGGGCCGGGGGGGGGTACCTGTAGTCCGGGGGGGGTACCTGTAGTCCGGGGGGGGGTACCTGTAGTGCGGGGGAGGGGTACTTGTAGTCTGGGGGGTACCTGTAGTCCGGGGCCCCAAAACTATTGAGGGACACAGGGCAACCTTGGAAAGTCGCTCATCCTTGCTATCCCTGTCGGCTGTCAGTGGCCCATTGGAAGCCGAGGCGTTCCGCCCTGAACCGATCCCCACGTTGCCGACAGATCGGCGCTAGGCTTCTGTCGGGCGTCCCCCTACAAGGGGATTTTCGACGAAAACATAAAAAAATACCCCAGAAATGCTCCAAAAAGGTCAAAACATACTCAAAAAACACTCCCCATATCATTTTTGGATTTTTTTTTTTTTTTTTTTTTACTATTTTGAAGGTAATTTTTATTTTTCGTCGAAAATCCCCCTGTAAGGGGGACAGGCCCGACATAACGCTAGGCTGTCGATGGCGAATCCGCGCGTTCCTGGGCGGGGTGGGCCATCAGGCCCCTAAATCGGCTAAGGCCCGGGCGGGGCTCAGACTCACCGACGAGCAGGCTCGAGGAGTCCTGCGCAGGGCCCGCTCAGGAGCAGCGAGCTCCGGCCACGCCCGCCACGTGCGCGAAGCAAGCGCCCGCGGGGCTCTTCTCGAGCTGGCCAGCGGGGAGGGGAAGTTTACTACGGGGAGGTGGGTGACCAACTGAATGCTCCCAGGCGCATGCCCCGTTTTTGCCCAGCGTTGTGGATGCCTTGACAATGGACACCCTCACAGTCCTACCACTGAGCTTACAGATGTGCTTACAGTGTTCGAAGCATGCCCCAGACATGCTGAAAGTCTGGTTGTGTTTTACGTGCTTCAGACATGCTTGAAACATGTTTCAGACATCCTCCTCCTCCTCCTCCTCCTCCTCCTCCTCTTCCTCCTCCTCCCCCTCCTCCTCCCCCTCCCCCTCCCCCTCCCCCTCCTCCTCCTCCTCCTCCTCCTCCTGGAAACTGTTTGGCAACATGCTTCCTCTCCATCGATCGTCGCCCACAGGCCCAGCGTGGGCCCGGATCCTGCGTGCGCCCCACGGCTGAAGCTTGCTTGACCGCGATCGGCTCGCTCGCATCGAAGTCAGTCGGCCATCATTCGGTCGGGCATGTCCTGCTACAGGCGGACCTTAGACGACAGACACAAACTAGCCAAACAATGCACCAAGATGGTCAAACATAGATCGTCTCCAGGCTACAGTCGGGGCGTTGACCTAAGGAACCCTGAATAAGAAACGAGGCCCCTTTGTTCCACAAGTTTAACTTCGATTTCCGATCGAAAACATAAGGAAAACCTGAGGCAAGCTGTGAAACACTTAAGGAACGCGGAGCCCCTCCCCAACCAAAAGGATTCCTTCTTCAGGGCCCCGACTGTATCTGAACAACTATGTTTGGATATTCCCCCTGAGGAGGGACATGCCCCACTTGAGGCCATCAGTGGCCCTATTGGAAGCAGATGCGCCCCACCCTGAGCCGATCCCCGCGTTGCCCCGCCCCCCCTGCGCGTTCCTGAGCAGGGTGGGCCATCGGGCCCCCAATCTCGGCAGCGAGCGAAGGGAAAGTGAGAAGGAGAAGGCCTTCCCAGCAGGCGGGAGGGGCTGCTCAGAAGCCCTCTGGCCGTCCGAGAAGTCTCCTCTGTCTTCGGGGGAGGCTCAGACAAATTCTCAGAAGGCTGGGGAACTTCCGAGCCTCCTGAGAAGGCCCGCCCCTTCTCACTTCCCCCCTGGGCTCGCCGCCAAACGATGGCATCCCAAACGTGTGAAGCCTTGATTTTTTCAATGCGGGGTCCCTGGAAGTCACGACCATTTCCCCAGGGCCGGCTTTCCATCCTGAGTCGCTTTCTGACGGTCCCGAGGCCCAGCGAGGGCTCCCAGGGGCCGAAAACGGCCAAAAGCCTCCCGTCCAGATTCTTTCTTTTCTACGCCCCTTCTCACTTCCCCACCAGGCTCGCTGCCGACTGGCGGCTATCAGCGGCCCATTGGCAGCCGACGCATTCCACCCTGAGCTGGTCCTCGCGCTGCCCCTGAGATCCGACGTAGCGGAAAAAGCTGCAACATCGTGAGAAATCAAGCCCGGAGCTCTATTCAGACCCCATCTCTCGGCGCCCTCTTGCGAGCGCGCCGCAGCGATCTGTGAGGGCCCCGGGGCCCGAAAAAAGGCGGCAACGCCCGGCTCGGACAAATTGAGGCGCCAGGACCTCAGGGCTGAGCCGATCCCCACGCTGCCCCCAGATCCCCGACGTAATGATTTTGTCATTGTGTCGACCCTGAGAGGTCTCGACCCCTTGCCCTGGACCGGTCTTTCCTCCTGAAGTGTCGTTTGACGCTCCCGAAGCCCGGCAAGAGCCCCCGAAGGCCGAAACCAGCGAGAAACCTACCGTCGTGAGTTTTGTTCACGACCCGAGGGGGTCTGGGCCAGTCCGCGAAGGTGCGGTGTGAAGCTTGGTCCCCGAGAGGTAGGAGGAGGAGGAGGAGGAGGAGGAGGAGGAGGAGGAGGA